GACTCGCATTCTGTGTTCATGTGCGTCAGGGGAAGGGGAGAGAAATGTCCCACTCAGCGACCCCAAGGCCCTTGCAGCCTCTGGAAAACCCTTCCTCTGGGGCCACAGCAGTTCACCCAGGGAAGCTCAGAGCCAGGGCTCTCTAGAGGCACTTCCGGTTGCAAGTCACAGGTGTGGGAATGCTCTAGGTTGGGTGAGTGGTCAGAGGCCCCTTGGATCCTCGTCTCAGCACACTGCTGCGCCTTGTTGTCCCTGAGGCCCTGGAGCCAATGGCCCGAGACCCCAGTCTGCTCTGTGCACCCTGACTCTGGGCTGTCCAAGGAGCCTGGCACTGTGGGTTTACCTAAAGCCCTGCTGATTTCCTCCCATTCCCATGCCCTGCCCCCCTGTTCATACATGGAGCCCTCCATGTCAACTGTGGCATTTGGAGACTCCTTGGTGGAGATGAAGCTGGATGGGCAGCAGGGCCCCGAAGATGGGGGTGACATTCTCCTAAAAGGAGGCAATGCAGCTATTTATCTCTCTCTCTCTCTCTCTGTTGTGAGTACATAGCAAGAAAGGGGGCCGTTCACAGGCCACGGGGAAGGCCTCACCAAGACCTAAGTGGGCCTCCCCCAGAACTGTGTTGTTTAAGCCATCGTTTTGTCCTACTTGTTGTGTCACACAGCTCTAGAACCCATCTGCCCCTTCCAAATCTGCATGAAAAACCAAGCCGATTCTCCATCACAGCTGGGTGGTAGCAGGCACACCTCCTTCCTACCCCCCTGCCCCATCACTTAGGAGCTCAGCTCCATTCACTGTACAGATGACCAACTCCCACCGTGGGCAGATGCTCGTCCTCTTGAGAGTCCTTCAGGAAGGCCTTGCCCAGGTGCCGGCTGTGGGACATCAGAAGGGCTGTGTGGTGGTGGGAAGTTGCTGGTGGCATTTGGCACAGTGGGAGTGAGTATGCCCCTTCGTCCGTGGTCACCCACCTATGCCCCACTGGAAGGCTGCATGTCCTTATTGCAAGAGGAAAGCCAGACAGACCTAGGAAAAGTCCCCAGCCTTGAGCCTGGCCCAGGGTGGTGCATGAACGCTGTGATTTGCAACAAGCCTCTCATAACAGTGCCATGTCTGGAGCATGGTTGAAGGGCCAGCTCCTCAGAGTGCCATCCAGGGCTGGCCCAAGCTCTCCTTGGTGCCACCGTGTGAGTAAAGGTTGGGTACACTCATGGGAAGGTGAACATTCATTGAGCTAAGGTTCTAGAAGCTTCTGTGTACCTTCCCTCATTAGTGCCCAGCACAGAGCCAACACCAAGCAGGCAGACAGCACTGTGGGTGTGCAGGGGACAAGGGAGCAGAGGCCTGTGACCAAAAACTCGCTGGACTTCACTGAGACCATGCGTTCTGGGTCCAGGGCTGCCTTGATGGGCAGTGCAGGGAGAGCCTGTGGGTGTGGCCGCTAGCCGTGGCCCTTGCATTCACAGTCTCTTCTCCCCTCCACGTGGCCACAGGATCTTCTGCCCTGGCCAGAAGCACAAGCTCTGAGATGTATAGGTCCTCCATGGGCCTGATTTCCAAACACATTGATTGGAGAGGGATAGAGGTTGATGTGCTAATCCCTTTGGTCATAAAAGATTTATTCCCTCTCTCGGTCCCTAGCACCTGACAGCAGTGGGGACAAGCTAGCCCAGCACTTGCAAGAAGATGGAGACAAGGCAGAGACACAAGGCTGAGAGACAGCAATGGAGAGAGACTCAAGACAGAATCAGAGAAGGTGGGCGTCTGGCACTGCAGTGAAGACACCACGTGGTACTCCCACGAGCCACGCCAGTCTCCACTTCCGATTCTGGCTTCCCACTACTGCGCCTCCTGGAAGGTGGCAGTGAAGACTCAAACCACTGGGTTCCTGCCTGCCGCATGGGAGTCCCGGATGGAGCGCCTGGTTCCCAGCTGTTGCAGGTGTTAGACGAGTCAGCCAGTGCATAGAGGAGCTCTCTTGATCCTTCTACCCCTTTTCCTTTCAAACACACACACACACACACACACACACACACACACACACACGGACAGAACAGAAACAAGAAGAGTGGGGTGTGCAGTTCATATGTCAGTCTGGGATAGCCAAGGACCCGCTTCTATTTTTAATGGCAACCCAGGAGCCATTTCTAAAAGGAAAGGATGACAGTGGGACGAGCTGTGTGATGAGACAAAGTCTCAAATCGGGTTGGGCTGCTCCCTGCCTTGCATGCTTCTGGGCAAGCCTCAAATCTCTGAGCTTTGTTCCCTCAAGTGCAGATCAGGGTGAAGACAGCACCCTCGCGTGGTGGTCGCGAGCCTGCCACGGGGCCGTGTGCACAAAGTGCAAAGCTCACAGCCTGTGGAGACTCTGCTTTGGGACATGGGGGTGGACCAGGCGGGTGTGAGGTGGCCCTGGTGAATCGGGGAGCAGCCACATTCTGCATGCAGCCTGCTATACTGCTCAGACACCTTAAGTACACAGAGCAGGTTGTGCTCTAGCAGCCCAGCTGCCTCATTGACGGGAAATAACCAGGAGAGAGATTCAGCTGTTTGCCAGTTGCCGTAAGTCCTCACAGTTCCACACCTCCACCCAGAACTCTTTCAGCTGCCTGCTGTACTGATTCTGTTTTGCCTCTGAGATTTGAGCTTGCCCTCCTACTTTTTGGCATTTCAGTTTGGATACAATACTTTACTATAGAACAGGTATAAATAACGTGTTTTATACCCAAAAGCCAACACGGAGGTAATCCCATTCCTCAGGGCTCCCAGGGAGCAGCTTGGGGTTCCTGTGCCATCTGGGTTTCAGGCCTGACCACTAGCTGGCAGGTACAAGCATCACCCAGCCATGGGCTGTCAGCCTTCATGATGTTGCATCTGCCCTAAGATGGACTGGCCCTTCCCAGAGCTTCTGTCTAGCGTGAGGGACTGTGTTTTAGCCACAGCGGTTCTTCCAGCCCTGGGAGCCAGCAGAAGTCCTGGTCTTTTGGCTGGGGTCTGGCTGGCTCTGAGAACCCCTCGGTTTCGGGTCAGAGGCAGGCTCTCATTCTTTCAGGGAGGTCCCATAGCTAGCTCCATGAGCCAGCTGCCCACATCGGCTTGGGGCTCACTTGACGAACGGCAAGTGCAAATGGCTCGAGGCGGCTGGCAAGATGCTAAGTGCAGCATCAATCCTAATTAGGATGAGGAATTAATAAAGGAGGCATTCGAGTCACTCCGTGAAAGCCAGCCTTGCCAGCGTGAAGTTCATTCCAATTTCCGCTGGGAAACTAGAAGGAGATGGGGGAGCCTCACGTGAGCCTTGGGGGTGGGGTGGGGGGCACCCGTGGCATGTCTCACTCACTGTGCCACGCACACAGGACCTGGAGGAGCCTGTGACACAGGACAAGGCATGGCAGCTAGGTTGGCACCTAGCTCAGGTGATCTGGCAGGTGGCACTGTGGGTGCCTTCTCCAGGGGAGAGGAGTGGGTGTCTGTGATCTGAGCAAGCGCATGCCCCAAATGATGTTTCTTAAAAGCCAAGAGGAGGGGGTGACGTGGGCCCACCAGCTCCCTTTGTGTGGCTGTCTTCCTGAAGAGCTGACTGCATGATTTTGTTACCTGAGGCCTGTTTGGCCCTGGCATTAAGCTTCATGCCCACAAAGGGCATGGTAGCATGCTTTGGGTTGGGGCACAAGGTTAGAGGTGGGCAGGATTCCCCGGGAGCGTAGCCATGGTCTGGAGCAGGGAGGTGGGGGGGCAGGAAGGGGGTAAGGGACAAGTCCCCCATCATTCTGCAGCCCCAGACTCATAAAGTGTCCCTTCAGAGGCCTCCAAAGGCACTGGCTCAGAAGCAATTGCAGGGCTTGGAGCTGCAGTGAGGGCACAGTGGACTGGGGACCCGGCCCAGCCCAGAGCTGAGTTCACACACAGGACAGGACACAGCAAAGCATGGGCAAGTCCAGCTGGGACAAGCAAGGAATGCTCCCTTAGCTCCCCACGCCGCGCCCAAGGCTAGCAGGCCCTATCTGACCTGGACTACACGGCCACTCCCCAGCCACCTGTTAGCACAACTTCTGCAGCAGGGCATGGGGGCCCCTCACACCACGGAGAGAGGTTTGCAGCATCTGGGGGAGACCTTGGACGGCCCCCACCGCGATACCTTCCAATCTTAGCACACCCACTAGGCGACCTCCTCTGGGTGTCGCCGCCCAAGGTCCGGGCGACCACGCCCCTCCCAACGTGCCGACTGTTGCCAAGCACCCCAGGCTCCCTGACCCCAAGCCGCGACTGACAGCTCGCTGCCTCCACTTAGGGCAAGATTCGGTGTGGCTCCCCTCACCTTCCCACCGCGCGGGGGTGGGGGGAGGAGGGGGAGGAGGCAAGCGTCGGTCTGGGGAGAAGGCACCCAGCTCCCCCAGACCCGCTCCTCGCCCCCGCCCTCGCCCCCACCCTTGGTCCGGGCCTGGAGCGCGCGCTTTGCGGCCCCGGCGCTCCCCGCCCCCGACCGGCCCCGCCCCAGGATAGCCAGTTCCCATAGCAATCGCACAGACACCGGTTGCCAAGCAACCCCTCCCCCTCCTCCTTCCCCTCCTCGCGCGTCCGCTCCCCAACCCCCCCAACCCCCAGGCCTCCTCCCGCTTCCACGCCAACCTCCACCTCCCCTGGGGGCGGTGGCGCGGCCCCCGGGGACCACTTGGATCCCGGGATGCGGGCGCACGCGAGTTTTCCGTGTGTTTCATTGTGGCAGTGCGCGAGGGGGGTGTGCGCGTGCGAGCCGAGAGTTTGCGGGATCGGTGTGTCGGGCAGGTCCCCATCAGGAGGGGACCCAGGCTAGTGCACTGCTTGGCCGCGAGGGTCCCCGCCCGTCCGCCCCGATTCCTTTGTGTCTCGTGCGGAACCGGCGCCGCGCCCACCCCTCCCCCGGCCCGCGCCCAGGCAGTGCACGCGCGCGTGTGTGCTCGTGTGTGTGCGGGGCGAGGGGTAGGGGGAGGTGCGCGCTGGGGGGAGGGGGCCGGTACCTTCGATGCAGCACACCCGCCACAGCCCCGAGTGGGTGAGGTCGCCGCGCGCGCGGCGGGGCGGGGGCCCGTCGTCCATGGTCAGGTTGGTGCCGTTGCAGATGTGCGCGCTGGAGTAGAGCCAGTAGTCGGTCCCGATGGCGATGGCCATGAGCGAGAAGGCGGCGAAGGCTCCGGCCGTGGTCAGCAGCAGCTGCAGCCCGCGGTCGCATCGCACCATGGTGGGCGCCTCATAGTCCGCCGCCCGCCGGCCCGGCCCGCCGCGCCCGCCCGCCCTCCTCCTTCTCCTGCTTTTCCTCCTCCTCCTCCTCCTCGTCGGTCTGCGCGCTGCTCCGGGGGCTCCCGGGCCGGGGGTGGCGCGGCGCCGCGCTGCGAGCTTCGACCCCGCGCCCCGGGCGTGTGCCTGCGCTCCGGGGCTCAAACTCCGAGGCGCCGCGGCAAGTGCGGGCCGCCGGGCGGGCTGGCGGCGGCGGCGGCCGGGGACTCCTCCCTCTCGGTCCGCGCCTCCTCCCGCGCCCTCCGCGCCGCCGCCGCGCTCCGGGCCCGCGCCCCGCTCCTCTCGGCGCCGCCCCTCGCGCCGCGGCCCCCGCCCGGCTCGGCGCTCCCCTCCTCTCCCCGCTCCCCGCAAGCCAGCCGGGCTGGACTCTCCCCTCCCCTGCCGCGGCCGTTCCCTCCCCGGGCTCGCGCGCGCTCTCTGCCTCTCCCCCGGTTCATTCACATTATTAGAGCTAAGGAGGCCTGGGGAAACGGCTTTCCCCCTGGAGGAACCGGACGGAAGCGGCGTCCGCAGCCGCCTCCCACCCAACCTAGCACACTCTATAACTCCCATTTGCACGACCCTGGGGGCCCTTTCACACGTGGAGTGGTGCGCGTGTGTGCGCGTGTGTGTGGATGTGCAGAACCTTGTTCATAAGATACTGGCGAGGGGTGGGTGAGAGAAGGAAGAGTGTTGAGGTGTGTTGGGGGGCGGCAGGGGCCAGATGTGGGAGACCAAGCAGGTCAACTGCTCCCCGATCCAGGTAGCACCAGACACCCCAGTCGCCACGGCAGGAGCTGGAGAGACTTGGGGATTGAGAGGGAGGGGAGGATGGGCTAGCTGGGGAGAGCTTCCTGGATGGATGTGGGGCGCCTTGGTTGAATGTCCCGCACAGTCACATTTCTGGTGCTGACACTGGGTTACTGCTGCAGGCAGTCCTGCCAAGTGATTTTTCAAACATTCCAAGCCTCAGGTGTTTCCCCTACTCTCCCAGTTCCTCTGCCTCTTTCATGCCCCGCCTCCTGCCCCCATCAGTGCCAGTCCCTGCCCCAAGCTCTGCTGGCTTCAGTGAAGCGCGTGGGCTGTTGTAAGGATTCCAATCCCGACCTCTTCTCTTTCTGGGAGCCGGTTTGCGCTGCTCCTCCCCTTGGCACCTGCCTGTGTTTCTCATGCCAGTGTCCTGGGTCCGATGGGGAGGAAGCCGGGCTGCACCTTAAGAAGTTGGCAGAGGGATGCTGAGAGCTCCTCTGCTTCTGGCAAGAGGAGGAGTCAGGGTCACTTTGTTTGTGGCACTTAGTTTTGCTGGCCCTGCTGCCCAAAGAAGATGGGCACCCTGTACAGGAATCAGGAACCACTGCTGTCTCACCCATGAGATTGGGTGGTTTTGCCAAGCCTAGCATCCGTGGCAGGTGCTTCTGGCCGGCCGGCGACGGAGAAATGGATGGGGGCTGGAGCGTAATCTATAAATCAAAGGGCACAGACACCACAAGGCCACACAGGCTGAGGAACCAGCTGGGTGTGAGAAATGACATTAACATTTCTTGGCCCCCTTTCCCACCATTGCTCTGCCTGCCCTGCCTTGCAAAATCTTAGCAGACCAAGGTTGTCATCCTGCTGGTTTGTATTCCCCCTCACCGCCCACTCTGGTGTCCTGTCTTGGGGTTGGGCACCTAGCAGGTGCCCAGTGTGTGTCTGAGTGGAATAGGAGATGTGCCTTGTTTCTTCTGTCTACCTCTGGGCCTTCTGTGGTCAGGAGCCAGGAAAAGATGAATCGCAAGCCTTGCTTTTCTTTCAGGAACAAATCCTTCTTTTAAATGAAATCTTGCATGGACGCCCACCCTCCGTACACTGGATCTCAGAAGAGCTGGCTATGGCTGAATGGGAGACTTGGAGTACCGAGACCAGTACACAGCATGCCTCACAGCCCCCCCCAGGGGACCTGGGGTCCCCTGGAATGTACCATGAAAACCACAGTCTTGGGGCAGCTCCTAGGCTGTCAGGAAGGTCCCCTTTGCCCCATACTGCTGGGAGAAGCCAATGAGTGTGAGAAGTCAATTGGGCTGCACACGGGGAGTGGGGAGTGGCTTCTACTGGTCTTGTTTAGGTCATGGGTGAGAGGACACACGGGTGAGGGGGCAATCCACCAAGCAAGTGATCCTCACCTGTGTCCACGTGATTTGGAGTAGAAGTGGTCATCCGACAGAACCGACAGCACCTGCTCTCACCCCTCCACTTAGCGGACCATTTGGAGTCACTGAAAGGACCGTCCTTGTCTAGGAGCCAAGCCAATCGCCAACCGTGACTCTAACCAATATGGTGAGCTCGGTGGCCAACACCACCTGTGAGAAAGATACCTTTCTGTTCTGCTTTTCAAAGTCGTTTTCAGAGTCAAAAACACAGCTTCACTCATTACGCACACTCAGTACCCACTCATGGAGGGAGCAGCAAATTTCTGCTTTTGATGGAAGGCGTGTGTGTGTGTGTGTGTGTGTGTGCTTATTCCATTCTCTGCTACCTCTCACTATCAGCCCCTTTGCAGCATCCGGGGAATGCGAGAAAGTGCCAAGAAACGGCAAGGTGAACTGCTTAGGTCTCCTCCTTGCAAGGTAGAAGAAGAGTCAGGTCCTAGCTCAGGTCCATGTGATTTTGATTCCAGAGTTTTTGCAGTTGGTCAGCGTCAAGTGCTGCCCCACTGTGCTCTTTATTCTTACCTGTTCTGGGAAAGGGGAGTGGGACCCCCCCAAAGAGCTTGGAGGTCCATTTGTCTGTCTGTGGACACTCTGCAGGCAGCCAGGCTTGGTCTCGGGGTGCTGAGGGGTGTGGGCTGTAGAGTCAAATAAGGACTTGACTGCCAGCAACAGGAGCTGGGGCAAACTCAAGACTGTCTGAGCCCATTCATCACGCCTGGGCGAGCACAATTTAAGCCTGGAAATTTCTGCTCAGCGGACTACAGAACTCTAAATGGCAGGATTTCGCTGCTGCCTGAGGACCCTGGAGCCATTCTGCTGCAACACTGTCAAGTCTGATGGTAGCTCTGGCCTCTCCGGGGCAGCTGGACACCTGGAGTCCTCCCCCAGAAACCCTCCCCAACTGCAGGTATAAATTCTATGGGAGGAAGAGAGTCGGGCTTTTGTCTGTGTGGACAGCTAAGAAGGTGGGGTGTGGAACCTGGCTTCCCAGTCAGCCTCTCAGTGATGGGGGTGGTTCCTGATAAGTGCCATGATGCTTCACTTGGCTTTGACTATGAAGACCCAGCCTTAATGAGCTCTGGATCCTGGATAATCCCCAATCTGGGGTGAATCCCCCCACCACCCATGGCTGCTGGAGAGGACTATAGCTCTAGGCTGCACCTGCTTTGGCTTGGGGGTGCAGGGCTTCGGGGAGTGGTGTCTCCCTCCAGGGCTCCCAATGTTGCTGTGAGTAAAAGCTTTCTCTCTTAGGTCCCCTGTGTGGCACATTTCTGGTGGGGCAGGGTGGCGATGGGGACACTTGGGGGAGCTGAAGTGACATCATCTTGAGTGGGTCAACTCCAAGGATGATTTTGAGGTTCTTAGGCAAGGCTGGGGTTGAGTCTCAGAAGGTTCCTGGGCTTGGCTTGGAGGGGAGGCTTAGCAGCAAGTCCTTTGGGATGCTCAGGAGTCCACCTGTAAGTCTTGGGATGTGGGCACCCAGAGGCCACGCCGGTTAGCTCCTGCGCAAGGCATGGATTTCTGTTCTCGTCACTATTTCAGTCAATCCATTGAGGGAGAATACAGATCAGAAAAATGCCACTTGGCTTTTTGTGTTTCAAGTGTGTTCTGTTTTGTTTGCTTTTTTTTTTTTTTTTTTTTTTTCTGAGAGCCCATTCAAGAGGATGTGAGCTGGAGACACAGCCTTTCTTTGTCAGCTCTGCCATGGTAAATGGTGGCACACCCACAAGAAAGCCCAGGCAGAAACCCCTGGAGGTGCAGAGGGGGAGGAACCCTGGAGGCTGCCAGGTGCTCGGTGGGCCTCATTACAGTTCATTATGACCACAACCCTAGAGGGCTGCTGTCTTCACACCCTTGAACGTGCAGCTAGGCAGCCAGTGACGAATGTGAACCCAGCTCTGTCTGGAGCACAGCTGGGCTCTGTCAGCTGCTCCGCTGACAGAAGGGGCAGAGGCCACTCCCGCCTCCACTGCTTCCTCCCCCATTCCTCCTTTACATATCTTCCCAGATGCAAGCAAGTTCAAGTGACTGTCAGAGTCACCTGGGGGGTGGGGGGGTGGAGCGGTTACGAAATGGCTGCAAGCTAGCTGGGGCTGAGCAGGCTAGAGTGGATCTCTTGGGCAGGTGGGAGTAGAGACAATCTTGTGATGGCAGGTGCTAGAAGCCACTGGCTTTGGAAGTTCCCAACCCCCAACCTTCTCATCTTTTCCCCTGGCTCCTGCTCTCAGACAGCCCAGGGCACAGGAGCAGTCTGAGGTGTTCTGTGGGTCTTGCCAGGCAGCTCTGGGCACCTGGCATTGGCTGTTGGTCGGAGGAGGGTCCAGCGCCCCTGCTGGCAGTGTTCAACACTGACCTGCGAATGAAGCCTGCGTAGGTTTGTTCAAGATCTGCCTGTTTGCAAACCGCCTGGCCTCAAGGATTGCGCCGCCAGGCGGGTGGGAGCGAGGGCGGCCAGTCTTGCTGGGCAGGCTCCCCTGTTAGAATTTGTTCCCGAGCTGGCCCCGCTGATGGGCGTATTGATATTACCGGCATGGCTCGGCCCAAGCTTCCGGCCCAGCACGCTAGAGAGCCCGCCTGGTTATTCTGAGAACATTCTTTCAAAACACTCTCCAGGACAAACAGGCCGCAAGGTTCCTTTGTCCTCAGCCAGCCTCTGAAATGGAGCTGGCTCTCAAAGGTTGGAGCAGGACTCGGAAAAAAGGAAAGGGCCCCATGCTCTCTGCTCTGCTCTGCTCTGCTCAGCTCAGCTCAGCTCAGCTCAGCTCAGCTCAGCTCAGGGCTGAGGCCT